CCACATAGATATTATCAGTGTATGCTTATTTCGCCAATGCGTGTCAACTAGCTTGAGATCGATGTCAATCTGTTTTTCATGCAATAAGCCAGAATATTACTGATTGCTTGTATTTTCAGTCAATATTCAAACAGGTATGTTGTAACAGACAAAGGTCCTGGCAATTGTATTTCCACGAGCATTATATACACAGTCAATAGTTAAATTTAGTTGAAAACAGTTTCATTAACAATTGATACATGCTTCATATCATATTTATCAAGTTCATTGTGAACAGCGTGAAAACAGTTTCTGTTGTTAACTTCAATCCTACAGTTAAGGTAATGCAGATGAGAAAGAATCCGAAAGATCTCCTAGAACTGTAGACAACAAAATTAATGACTGAATTTTCTTGAATTAAATCAAAACGGGGAAATTTTCATAGTTTAGTAAATACACTACTTCTGCTTACCTGAGAATATGATGCCTAATGAACAAAGAGGCGTCAAAACAAGTGTGTATGTATAACATAGATTGAATTTAGGGTTTAAAGACATTCGCTTAGAGATTAGTCTCGGTGCGAGTTTCCATTACAATCCTAAAATGAATTACATTTGCTGATGTCACTCTTTAGTTCATCTTAATATAATCCAGTTATCAGTTGAACAAAAATATGGTACCATCATTACAACAAGAATTTACATCCAATTTTCATTTTCGTACATTCTATAAAGGATTCTTTGGAAAATTAAGAATATGGAATAAACTAAGTGGAACAAGTGGATGTCGGTAGTGCAATTCCCTGAATATCCTCAATAAGTAACCGTTTCTAATTGTTCAATAGATACTTCGAATACTGCTGAGTGATGGTTGGCTCCATCTGCGATAAAGCATTACAAAATTAGATAACAACAGAAGAATATTTGAGGAATCTATCACGTCAACCCACAATGTGATAATTTTCGAAATGCCTGCTCAACCAATAAAGAATTGAAGATGGTATGGAAACGACAGTGAATATCACATCACAAACATAAATTTTACGCCACACCGTTAACATTAGGATCAAAATGATTCCACATGACAGAAATTCGTCATAACTACACTTTGGATTTGTATTGTACATAATCTACATTTTGTTTACACTCTGAACAACACATTCAATCCAAATGTACACCTTCTTTAACTGATTCAAACTTCCTGTGCTTTGGATCCTAAGTTTGTTGTTGAGTTCTGTTTGACGATCTGGTATTTTGACCCTACTAATTAGCTGATGAATGATGTCAATGTAAACTAGCACCCAGATATGTCAAACAGGTCGGCTGTCTGAACAGCGAAGATACAACATAACCGTACTAGAAGCCACAATTTGCTTAAGTTCGAAACCACTATCATTTCCATTTTTATATGACATGAATATCTATGGTAATAGTGATACAACTGATGAAGAATATATAATTATATTCTCTGCCTATAATTAGAACCTTCAAAAAACTATAAGTAGTATATTCAATGATAACAATGTGACTGGATTTCTAAGACTGAATATATTGAAGATGCCACAGGTATTCGGAGTTTGACAACGCTTTAATCACATGTAGTCCATCAAGTATAGTGTTACCGTATTCTCAATATTGTGGTATTATTTATTCCAACCACTAAATATCATTATGGATGATAATTGTGAATAAGAAGTGAATGTACAAAATTCAATAGGTATTTACTCTACAGGATGTAATTGAGATCGAGAAAGTAAACTATTTAGATAAACAGTATAGGGTTGTGGAAATCGTTGAGTTTTGATTGAGATCATTAATCGACCGATGCAAGAGCTCCACTGGAAAGATGGAAGCATTGGATGTCCGTTTAATCGTAATATGGGACTCTCCAGTAGTGCGTATGCTTCAAATCACACACGGGACTCGAATTCGGGGTATACTGTATCTCGTGTGGACACCTAAACCCTGGACCACTGAGCATACATACAAAGGTATTGATGTCTAGTTTCAATCGATCCACGATTGGTTTTCGATAATGGTCTCTCTTATATCGACTTGTCAATCCACCTGTTAAAATACTACAATCTCTACAAGTCCCCATTCTCATAATAGTATATTCACAAATTATCCCTGAAACATTCCACTGATCATAATTACATTTGTTTACAAAAGCAACAACCAACCACTATATTTATATTTGTATATAAGTATTCCGATTTAGTTACTTCTTCAGATTTAAGTAGTAGCGAACAGAGGTCGATTATTTCGTTACGAAATAGTAACTACACTTATACATTGCGAACATTGTTTAAATTCACTGGTTTCAATACATTTTGAAGAAATTCTTGAAAGCAGTTTGGCAGAGAATGAACATATTACCCTTCAATCACACTGTTATCAAGCATTTTAATTTCTTTTCATTGTATAAGGAATGTGGGTAATTTGCCTAAGCATCATACAACACTGCATGTGTCGTTGAAGCATACTCAATTCCTAGTACTCACTCATTCACTCACTCACTCACTCATTCACTCACTCATTCATTCATTCATTCATTCATTCACTCACTCATTCACTCACTCACTTACTTACTTACTTACTTACTTGGTTTCACACTTAGCTTTAAGGACATTTACTCACTTGAGTGAATTCCTTTCATTTGCTTGAAATAGTTGCTTGTTTTCATTGTTTTGAATTTCATTCATTTTAAGGTCGTATAACTATAATTACCCAAGGAAACCACAACAAAGTTTATGTATTGTGGAGTAATGGAACAATTTATCAAGCAATGAATGAAATACAGTGATGCATTACTCTTATAGATTATATTGTAAGTATTGGTTGAGGAACAATTGAGAAACATTTGATGCATTCAACTGTCATTCACACACCCAACCCACAGCTTCTCTCCTTTCATCTCTTAACAACGATTCACTTCTGCTTATTGTTCCGTCTTCCTTAACTACCATTCACAATGTAACCCAGAACGAGAACTGTTTCATTTGATTGTATTCAGTCAACACAATAGGGAAATTGTGTATTGTACTAGTTCCATTGTTCCATCATATACAATGCACAATTATACGCATTTATTTAATTCAAGTGTGAAATTACAAATGAAAGCTGAATGCATTTTATTACAGCAGTCATCATAACACAAGTACAAACAGAATGTGACAATCCTGTGAGAACTTCAATGAATGAATGAATGAATGAATGAAGTGAACTTACAAAACTGTATATCACTAATAGGAAATTTTGTATTTGTGAACAATAAATACAAAATAGGTAATATGAAGTTGAGGTGAATTCAATGAGTTCACTTAAACAAATAAAAGAGAATACAATTGATGTTGTCAGGGATACAATAGAATGACACCATTCCACTTCACCTCATATACACAATATTCATTAGTAAATGTATTCTATTCATCAATTGCAACTACCATGTTTAACAATTATTTGTATTCTATTATTTGTATTGTATTTCAGCTTTTGTAGTGTAATTCTGTGGGTTTTGATTGAGATCATGGATAGCTCAATGAAAGACTACAAATGCAAACCTGGAAGCACTTAAAAGAGAGGATATATCTGATTGGTCAGTGTCCTAATGACATCCAAATATATAAACTCTTGAAATTCAACGGAAATCATCATTGTTCAGTTAGATCTCAAATCATTTATATACTAATCCTTTATACATTTTTAACTTACTCCAAATGACTAAACATTTATTCATTATTCATGCATACATTTCAATTCACTTTCTCGCTTCTTATTACACACAAACAAATTCAAGATCAAATATCAATGTGTTATCGACATGTAAATGGTGTACGAACTGTAGTAAAATTATGCCTTGTAATTATTCAAAATGGATAGGTGGATGGGGACTACCAAATCAGTCATTTATAAACAACTATACTCTCAGTATGGTACAAACTTCATCATCGTGCTTAAATGAATGTCTATCGAATCACCTATGTTATTCATACACAAGTCCAACTGTAAGTTGAAATGAATTTCCATATTTTTGTTTAAAAACATGAATGCACCGCATTGGGTAAATGAATGAGTGAGATGTTGAATGTGAATTGTGTTTTATTGTTTTAACCAGATCAACTGTATACATCTCACACTGTAGATGAAAGCGTCCAATTCCAGGACACCTTGAAACTTTCATTCAACATTTTGGTTAAAACAAAGTAATTTCATCTTCTCCATAAATCACTCAGATTATTATTCGCTTCATAAAATGTGCTTTCTATTTTGACACTTTTATTAGGATTTACCAACACAATGCACCTTATATTCAAAGCCGATCAATCTAACTAGTGAATTATACAATCGTACCGCATTCGAATTTGGAACACGAATATGCTGTAGTAAGTTTCAATGATAAAGCTTAGTTAAACAAATGGAACATTTGTATTCCGAATTGATCACACAGAGTGTATTAAAAGGAAATGACTAGCTTACAAGAACATGCATTCACTTTAGTTTCGGGCAGCTATATTTTCCATAAACGGTCTATTACAGTAAACATGTAATGATTCTGCTTCAATTCGGCATGTGTATACAATGATATATGGATGGGACAACAATTCTATATGACCGGTTACTTGTATTTGAATCAAGTTTGTTCACTGACTCATAGACCGGTATTGTAGCGATTACGTCAGTATCAAGAGACAAATGTGTAAGAAATTAGAAGATAGTTGAAATAATTTTGAATGAAACGAGTTTAATCGAAGTTGAGCTGTATATTCACTCCTTGATCGTTGGTCAACCTAGTGAGAGTGGTTGTACAAACTTGTTTCGGATGTGAAGGTTAGTTTTGTGTATATGGATCGCGATAGCGTCATCAATATGCGAAACACGGACTCGTATTTAATTTAAACATTTACTGATAAATAATTTCTTCCACAGTCTCTATTTGTTTCATACGACAACTGTGTGTATAACGATGTAAGACCTCATAACACTTTTATTTCAGCTGATGTTAAAAATATTGAAGTTCTCATGTCACCGTGTCTCCCATGTTCCACTTGTACAAAACTCATGCAATGTAATCAAACATATTATGTAGTGAAGCCAGGATTACCGAACAATCAATTCCTCAGTACCTATTTTCTCAAGCAAGTCAATGCTACAATAAATTGTGCTAGTGAATGTGAACTCAATCCCTACTGCCTGTCGTTTTCCTATATTGTTGTAAGTTCGGTATATTCTGCTCATCGTTTTAATAAAAATAAAAATAAAAATAATAATAATAATAATACACAGTCATTTATTGATATTTATGTTATAAATGGTGCTTATATACACGAGACATTACGAATAAACGTGACTGTCAGGTATCGAAATCCACTAAACGGTTTTGATCCTATAGAAAGTCGAACGGTTATCGAGTTGAATGCATAAACCGTGAGAGTGTATTGAAATTATTTGGTTTGTTGCAATGAGTGATTTGGCCTCGAAATAGATTTATTTTCGAACGTGTTGAACTGGTTACTGAATGTTAGTTAGTAGTATAATGCAATATACTAAAGTGAATGTCGACGAACAGAAATCTACAGGAAACTGTAGCTCAAAAATAAGACAGTTACTAAGATACATTCTAGATATGTAGTTTATTGCAAAATATTGTGATTATACTTTGAGATCTCTTTAAAAATCAAATATGAGTATTGAGATTATTAGGAACATTGATTTGCTCATCAGTTGAAATTTCCTCTGATGATGCCGGCAATATATATCCATGATGAAATCCAAGGTGTGTCCACATATGTTAAATCTAAGACAGGTAACCAATCGATAATGTTCTCAAGGTTAAACAGTGATAAGTTGGTGGACACGGAATGTCCACCTAGGGGAGTTGGAAAACCATGATTCCAAACGAATGTTGTACATGGACTCCACTATCTTGAACGAAACAAATGGTGTGTGAAGCAATTGTTGGTCGCCGACTAACATGTGACTGCATCCTATGACGTTGTCTCACTGTGTTGTGGATCAGCCATTCAGGTCGAAGGCTCCAGGTGTGGCTACCCAAGGAAACCACCTGCATCGATCTGCCCACCAGGACAGTGTCACAGCACTCACACACAAAATACACACTTTATGTTCATTCAAGTGAACGATTCATAAACAATATCATTCCATTTATTACTGCTTATTAAGAATTTTCTGAAAGTGTACATAAAAACAAAAATCATTTTCATCACATTCAACACAAATTTGTTTGGTATTTATACAGGATCGTCCAAGATGGTGCTCACTATTTAGTGGTGTCATGAATACAACTGTAATACACAATGATACGATGGAACAAATGACTGGTGGGAAAGTATGTTGTGGTAAGTGAAGTATTCACACACACTCACACGTACACACTGCATGTTATATAATATTAGTAATTAAAATTTGTGAATATTATTATTGTTAAAGTGGATAGAATATTCCTGTATGTAGTTGAGGAGAGCCTTGTAGTGTATTTGTCAGATAGTATTATCATATCATTGAATAACATGTAGTAAGATACTTCCTGTCAGTTTCAATGAAGCTACTGGGAACTCCATTTCTGATTCGTGGCAAAGATTGTGTAACTCGAATAGATAGGGAATAGACGATCAAATCTACACGAGCTTATTTGTGTAACACTTCACATTGTTAGCATTTCTAGTACATGGTTATAAAGTAGGGAGAGAGTTAAGCTAACACTGTATGTCATACACAATTCATACAGGAATCATTATTCATATCCAATCATCATCAAATGAACCCATAGTGAACACAATCACTGATTGATTGGATTATCTATCCGTATTGTAGATTGTGTTGCATAATTTTCCAGATTGTTTATGTATATATACATATATCATTTGTATGAATTCCATTAGTCCATTGATCAGTGTTTTTCTTTTGTACACTTATCCCTATTCTATTCTTCCTCTTATCATAAAACTGTTTTATATGTTCTTGTACTGTTTAATTGTGCGCCATTATTGCTTCATTCAATGTTGTACATTTCACATGGAATATCATTGTGTAATCAACTGTAAATAAATTGTTTATTAAACAATCATAAATTGTCGTTGTTATTGTTGTTTATGATAACTAGTCCATTTAATTACTATTCAACGAGTTAGTGAAACACATTCTATGGATACATTTAAATGTTGCTACCATTAATACAGTCAGACAGATTATACTTTTATAAACAAATAAACATACTTCAGTGGTGGTCTGACATCACTCGATTCATGATCTCAATCAAAATGTTAATGACTTTCACAACCTCATACTGACAATTTTCATGTGCCTAGTGAGGGAATTTTCGGATTTGTGGTGAGAAGCCGTGACCAGTTGAGATATTCCATTTTTGTGTAGAAACAGGTATCTATCTCAGTACAGTGGAGGATGGTCGAGCAATTCTGTGGATTGATTGAGTTTAGACATTAACATCGTCGGATACTGACCGGCTCATTGGTCTAGAGATTAGGCGTTCGTGCACGAGACCTGTGTTCGTATCCGTCGAATAGTATCGTGAATGCACAGTATTGAGGCACACGATAAGAGGAATCGTCCATCCAGTGCTTCCAGCTTTTCAATGATTCTTGATCTCAATCAAAATCTTGTATTTATTATTGAAAATAATTATATTTAAATGCAAACAACTCGTTGTAAGTATGAATAAGAAATGAATGTTTTTAGGTTCGAAAAGTAGTACATTGTTCAGTTAATCTATACATGAATTAGATTCATTTTCAATGACAATAGAAAACCTTCACAGTTTAACTTATTTCCAATTTTTGTGTATAAATCATTAGGGTAGAATGATGATCGGTATTTTAGTGTGGACCAAATGAAACATGAACCTTTATCAATATGATTTAGTGACTGAAATATTAAGTGATATTCCCATCACTTCTATGACATATGGAATAAGAATCAAATTCTAATACAGTGTGCATTGATGAATCATATTTTGAGTAACGATATTTACATTTTAAATAAACGTTCAGTGTTCATTATAACACTCATGTTTCCAGGTGACCTATAACCGATTGGTGGACAAAAGTATAATTTTATTGCAAAGAAGGTTGAATGATTTGGATTTGATTTGAATAAAACTGGTAATCTTATTCCTATTGTTAGGTCTTTGAAGTTACTTTTTAATAACCGTTTAGTAACCATATCCTATATTAGAACACAGTATCCTACTTAGAAACACTGGTACATAACTAGAGTGGTTTACTGTACAGTATTATTGTTTGATCATCCTAGTTAATCAAAAACATCCTATTTAGCTTCACTTGTTATTGTTTACTTTAGTCTTCCCATTGGTGTTTAGGACTGCAATTGATCTCTCTCTTATTGACATATGTACTTATTAGCATATACAGCACTGGGTTCGAGTCTTAGAGTGAACATCAACTCTGAGATGCAGGTACATCCAGCTGACAAGTCCCAAGTAGGACAAAACGCGCATCTTGGATTCCACTACTAGCCACTGTTCGTCTTTACCTATCCTATTTAGCTGTTTGTAATCCATAATTATAAATGGTTCATACTTCCGATCACAGTTGTTATAGTTCGGAATGTATATCCAGACGAAGCATATAATGAGAATATTACTGTGGTCTGTAAACGTAGATAATAAATACATCAGAGTTTTGATATCATAAAAATAGGTAATTAAAAATAAGACACATATGTGTGTAGCAGTGTATTTGTGACAAACATTCATTGTAGTGAACGAGAACACAAGTAAGAAAAATAGAACATCTGTGAACCACACGGTAAATACTTCATTTGCAAAATATCAGTTGTCTCAAATTTGATTGTTCCATCGTTTCCACACCAATCATACTCTGCTCTCGTTCTTTTAACTTCGATTTTCTTAACCTTCTGCTTATAGACATTTCACTTTTTATTGATGGTACATACTACTTACATCTATCGACATCAGTAGCACACACCACAATATGGAGGGGGATTCAAAACGAAAACAGAAAATCCAACTTTATGAGTTTTTCAACAACTATTTTACAGTTACTCATAGTAAATGTACAAATTATGAGAATTAATGAATGAAATGCAAATATAAGTAAAACCTAGTTACAAAATAAGTCTGTCCTAACTATCTCCACACTCCTACGTACAAGATGATGACCAGTAATATCCATTAAATATTGTTACGTTTACATAACAGTTTTCAGTTCAATTAATTGTGAAGGAGTAATCATCACTATTTTACTCTATGTCCATTAACATAAATATCAACCAATGTGAAGACGTAAAACGGTATTAGTAATCAAGTAAAATGAAACATTATCTATTTAAAGATGTTCACGTAGATTACATTGTCTGTTTCAATTCAGCTTTGTTCAATAAACGTAAATTATTTGTCTTTCTTGTAGTTAGTTGTAACCCATAGGTTTTAAATCGTAATCGGTGAGCGAAGTTTTCAAATGACATGAAACATGTAATCAAACAAATTTGAAACTACTAGGTAAAATTGTAATCGAGATTGTTTAGTAGATGACATATATTTCTCTAGAATGACATAGATTCTTAAACTTCAATCTAATTGTTTCACAGTAAAATTTTATTTAATAGTTGAGTTCACATGTCAGTTAAAGCTAGACCGTCATAAAAAAGCCTGGAAGCACTGAACGGCCGTTTCGTCCAAGTATGGGACTCCTCAGTAGTGTACATCCACTATCCTGCTCGCGGGATTCAAACCATGGACTTTCGGTTTCATGAGTGAACACTTAACTTTTAGACCACTGATCTGGCATCCATCAGTGATGGACGAAACGGCCGTCCAGTGCTTCCAGGTTTTCAATAGTGGTCTAACATCAATCGATATATGATCTCAATCAAGAATAAATGTAGCATTAGACTGTTGTTTGGATTTTATTCGTCATATTTTTTCTATTTTAATGCTCAAAGTAGACTGGAATAAACTAGACTGACATTAATACTTACATTCATTTTGTGTTGTTTGTTTGTATCTTCTTATTGTTGCTAAGGACTGCAATTGATCAGTCTCTTGTTGGAACATGTGCATCCTGCACGGATTGCTTTGATATTGCCTTAAGTCACAAGCATTATAACAAAGGTGGATAGTGAAAACTAAGACACTCTTTTCGTTCTATTTGGGACTCGTGAGCTTTATGTACCTGCATCCCAGAGTTAATAGTCACTCCAAGACTCGAACTCAATACTGCACAGAATGCATATATGCCAATAAGAGACTTATCAACATCTATCCTAAACATTAATAGGAAGATACAAACAAATAATACAAAATAAATTTAAACCTCACTCCATTGCATAAGCTAGTAGCCATCAAGACTCAGCGACTAAGTGGATGACGCGATGGCATATTTAATAAATACAGTCATTCGGTGGACTATTCACAGATTTAATTCCTAAATTTTATCACTGTGTGCTATTAAATTAAATTGGATTAGAAATTACATCACAATTCTGATGTGTGGGCGAGAATGATGATAATGATTGGTTGTCTGCTTAGTCAGACTTGCAGATAGTCTGATAGGTGTCAGATGAGTTATATATTCCCTTATCCTTATTATTATTGATCGTTCATTACTGTTGGATTGTGTCGGGTTTTGGTGTGGAAATATATTTATGTTCTAGTAAACCTAATCACGTGTTCTTGATCTGAGTTGTGTTAAAGTTCTATAGAATTGACATTGGGAGGGAATCTAGTGTAAATATTCGTCTAAGGTAAATTAACGTCCCATACGTGTAAACGTGGAAATCCAACCGTTATAACATTAGACGAATTAAAACAGAGCGTCATAACAATTGGCGACGGGGTGAAAAACAAAGAACCAAGGGTATAAAACCACAAGTTATAACAAATTCATTCTTACGTTAAAATTTGTCTGCATATATTAATTGAGACCAAAACACTAAACATGTTTTTGTAAATGTCACTGATAAAGTGAAGATAATCCTAAGAATGAGAACATAAGCGTCAGTTTCACATTCCTAACCTCATCTGAATTCAAGTATATCTTGGAATTTTTAAATCTCACATACAAACTGTTATTATATTATTAAATGGGAAATGATCAGAATGTGAATTTATGGAGATTGTATTAATTTTAATAGTTGAATTGAGGAGTCTATCTAAACGTTCGCGCACAAGACCGAAAGTCCTGAGTTCAAGTTCCATGTGTAAGATCATGGATGTGCATTGCTGAGGAGTTCCATCATACTAGGATGAAACGGCTATCCAATGCTTCGAAGTTTCAATTATGATCTAGTTTAGATCGACTTATGAGTTCAACTATTGAAATGGAAAATTATCAACCTACTGTAAGCTTA